TCTCTCTCTCTCTCTCTCTCTCTCTCTCTCTCTCTCTCTCTCTCTCTCTCTCTCTCTCTCCCATCCCCTTCTTTCTCCCCAAAGTCTGCACGCCATAGCCCCAGACATCTCCCTTGACGAATCATGTGGTCTACTAGTATGGTGCTCCACAATATATTGTTTTCTATGCTATATGCCACAGTAAAGATTTTTTTCCATCTTATGCTTTTTTTTTTTTTGGAGGAGGAAGATGTTAAAGCAAGGATTTAGATCAGTGCGCATTGATCCAAGTGATCCGGAGTGGGGTGCATCAACTCCTTTTGGAGGTGATCCAATGCACACTTTGCAGCAACAGCTTCCCATAGTTCTTGACATTGTTTATGCTTTATATTGTTGCTGTATTTTTTTTTCGAATAAAATAAAGGTGATTATATCCATGCAGCAAGTGTGAATCCTTGTTTTGGTTTTGTTTCGACTAGTTTTTCATTGAATATATTGTAAGTGGCCCATATACTAGACACCTTAGATATGCACTAGATATAAAACCTCTATCAGTTTCCATGTATACCAACTATAGAGCAGGAGCAACAACAACAGCAATGCATATCCTTCAAGATCTCACAGTTGTCAGTGACTCTGATTTCCAAAAACCAAAGAAGCCAAATCGCAGACTAGTAGTTTTTTAATGCAAACTGAATTGTATGTTTTTCAAAGAAAGAAATGGCAAACAGATCTAAGTGTATTCCAATGAAAGAAACTAAAAATATTGAAAATAATGGGAATTTTTTAAATAAGAGTGTTCTATAGTGAAAGTTTTACATAAAAGAACTCATCCAAATAAGAAATTAATCACAATCAAGATTTGAGTATGATATTGTTCTCAACCTTTATCCCATGTTATAGTGAATGAAGTCTAGTTATGAACATTGTAAGAGAAAGAAATTATTTTTCACTCTTTAGATTTTTAAGTAATATGTCAACAATCAAATATATCCCAGAACATCAAGCTTGAAGGATTATGTACCTTGTAATCCTGCATGAATTCATAATGCAAAACTGTCTCTGGCTCAGTGCTTGCAGCTCTTAGAAACTTCTCTAGCCCATCACGTGTCCCATTGTCCACTACAATCAGGAAATTCTTAACTGGTGTAACTTGTATGGCAGATTAATGGTTTGATCAGATACTACTTCCTTTGCATTTTAGAACATAAGAGGTTCAAAACTAATCGACACTATTAAAGCACAAAATGCACGATCCATAAATTACCACAGTTGGTCCCAAGCACATAAAGCTTTTCTAGATTCAAATGCTTCTCAACAGATCTTAATGCTGCAGTTCAATAAACCACTCTGCATTACAACAGGAGTCGTCATAACAATGCATGATTCATGCATTGAAGGGAAAAAGCAAATAACAGTACCTTGAACTTGGCAACCCACACCACAAAAAAGAAGTCGTTTGACCCTCGCTTCCTGGAAATTTGAGAAAGCAAACAAGAAATATCAACACATTTACATAATGACAGGAAAACAATCATGAAGAAGAACTAGCCTAGCCATAAGTAGTTTATTGGATGACTTACTCATCTCAAGCGTGAAAGCAATTATCTAGAAATATTTATATGAACACATTACACAGAGACAAAAAAGCAGATAGTAACAATCATGCACGTGAATCTAGTTGCTTCAAGCATATTTTACTTGAACAATGCAATCAATTAAGAGTCAATTACACAAGAGCTTAAGAGATTAGGTGGTCCACAAGTTGGCTAATTCTCTGTTAGAGTTACCTTCGAAGGCCTTGAATCTAGTATTTTATAGCTCTTGTTCTGAGTGGGAGTGAGTGAGAGCGATGTGATTCTAGGATCTTGACGAACTGAGACCAAAAGTCACAAACCTCATGTCATGAGGCTTGAGTATGAGAGGCACCGAGAGGGTTGAGGGTTAGTCAAGGTCATAACAGTGAGATGGCCAAGGCGGCTAGAACCATTATTATAAGAGCTAAATTAATTTCTGAATGATGGCCCCATATGAGAAGGTTAGGTTTTGAAAGTACATAAGCCCCAATTCCTGACCTCGAACCTTTCATGGCACGTGCATACACAATCGCAAATGGGAAGCCACTCTTTCATAGTAGATTCACTTGAAAGAGAAATGCACATGTGCCAAAAGATGACCCCCGCATCCACAAGAATGCATGTCCTCGGAGTTGCATTTGTAATCTACTATAACTTGAGAGCTTTTGAGCTACATATCGAATAGACTTTGATAAGCCAAGCATGACCCCTGCCACGGACTGTGAGTCATGGGTTTGTTGGGTCATTATGAGAAAGTGACTTTGTATTCGGGACCTAGCAAAGTTGAGTGCTCTGTTACCCAAGTCATCTCCATGGGATCCTAATTTCCCTTATTAATGTTTTTATATGGCGGCAAACTGAATAAAAATGACGGAGAATGCTTGGGAGAATTTTTTGGGGTACGTATTTTGAAATTGTTTTGGAAAATGATGAGAAAGGACAAACCCACTATAGCCCACACGTGGCATCCAAATAGCCAATGGGTACCACGTGGAGGTTGATGTGGGTCCACGCCATTGTCACATGGGGATGATGTGGGGGTGACATCAAAGCCCATGGGGACTGCTTTGTCATTTGACAATTTGTTGAAATGAGTATTTCATCGAGAATTTTGAGAAAGATTGAAATTGAATTAGAGCACATGTTTCTTATGCGCAATTGGTTGGTTGTATGCAGATGGCATGATCCTCTAGGAGTATAAGGTTTGATATTATTATTGAAACCTTAAGTCCTTCTGGAAATTGGCTCATAAACCCCAATCCCATACTGCATCATATGGTTGGTTGCACAAGCACACCTTGATAACATGAATTTGGAGGGATCTTGGAATTCATAATTCAATGAACGGGAAGCCCATACCTAGGCTTTCTCATTCTATTTAATCAAGCTAGCATGGGTAATTATGGAAGCAAATTGAATTTGATGAGATTTGGAGTTTAAGTTTAATAGTGGGAAATTTGGAGTCAATTTAGGATTTATTAGAAAGATAATGGTGTTAAATCTCATCCATTCATTAAGATGGTATGACGAGTGATGAGTGGCTAGGATCAAGCCCCCTCTCATGCCATGAATGACTTGTGTCAATAGCCAAGATTAGCTCATCTAGAAGCATCTACTACACAAGCTTATATATACCCCCTTGTCCACCCATTTGGCATCTTAGTTCTCTCATTTTGTGGCACACCCGCCTTAGACCTCTCTCTCTCTCTC